GCGAAATAAATCTAGTTGTTATCCAGGGTGTATTACTACATTAGCATACTGGCCTAGCACTTGCGCTACTATGTATGTTACCGTATCTGAAAACGCATACGATGCAGTATATGCTAACCGGGATGTGAAACTGGAGGGTATTACCTCCGAAGAGCTGCCCTGCCCAACACAGCCCCATTCTTCTTGTGTGTCCTGAGACAGTATTCTAATGCCTGAACGTCATCCGTGTGTTACGTTAGACGTACTACACCAGTAGGCGCTGCCATCGGATTTTTACGCTGGACTACTTTCGTCTGTCCGGGACGTGACATTTGAGAAGGAAGCCATACCTGATTAGGTGTAAATTATCACGGAAGAAAAGGAAAAATGAAGGCTGAAGCAGGAGTGAGAGGGGAAAAAAAACTACCTCGATTTTGTCGAGAGAGACGCTTCACACCGAAGTCTTCGATAAGGCGATATATTTGAAATGATGCGATTATTTTGCTAGCTAGAGGGAGATAAAGCGGGAGAAGGGGAAATGATGCCGTCTATTGTCTATAGATTGCCCTATGACAGTACCATATTGAGCCCAGATGTTACAGCGCCCGTTGTTTGGGCTATGCTTCCGACCGGATCCTGCTGTTCAACATCTCCTAATACGCGTTTCGGATCCCATTGTTCAGCACCTCCTAATACGCGCTGCAGCATCTCCTAATACGCATTTCTCCCTCTTTTTTTTAACAGATGAATTTGTGGATTTTTAGATTGCTGAGATATTTTTAGATTGCTGAGATAGATGGATTTTTTTCAATAGATGGATTTGTAATTGTTGAAATATTAGATAAAATGTGACTCATAAGTATGTCTGGTAAAAAAAAAAAAGATATGTCTACAATCTGAAGATACTGACTATTAGACTGTAAATCGTTGCCTGACTAGCTAATGTTTTTCTGGGAGCGAAGATTATAGCTATGACTTTTTATCGTATTTTGGCATTCCACGCCTTGCTCAGCGTTTTATTACCACTCTCGGGTACATCATAAAGATAGCCGGGAATAGTTGGTTGCGGTCTAGCTCTACAATTGTCCAACACATCCCGTTCTTCCCCAGGCAGTGCCGATAAGAATTAGTAGGAGACGAACTGCATGTAGACGATCGCGGCCGTTCAAAAAGACAGACGATTTGTAGTAAATTCTGGATGTCCAGTCGGGCGTACTGAAGGGAGTTCCGGATCAAAGTCCCAGATGTGTATCTGACGAAATCCCAAAAAAGATCCAGAATGAAAAAAACCAGGGGTAATATAGGAGAGATTGGTCCTGTCCAGAAGAGGAGTAGTCCTGCCATGTTTACCCCCTTTGTATCCAGCTGTATTTACTGGATATAAAAACACACTAATCATTTTACAAAAGTACATGTCAGCTTTGGCTTTTGTATTTATGAAAATCCCATGGGAGATAGAGGGGTGGTTACGGTATGGATGGGAAAAAAGAAAAAGAGAAACAAAACGGGAAATTTGGAAAATGGTTTTTTTGTTTAAGGGGCTTAAAATGAGTGAATAATTTTACATAATGAAAACTCGTGCCACCCCGGAAGAGAAGGAATGTTAGTCATTCCGGTAAAGTAGAAGATGGCATCAGACAAGAGGCCATGAGAAAGTGCTGTTTGTTGGGAAATAGAGCTAAAATAAAAGTTTTAATGATGAGAGAGATAAAGGAGGGAAGGGTGTACGGTAGTGACTCACTGTACAGAAAGGAGGAGTGTTATATAAAGACTAGGGGACGTTTTGCATGCAATTATATCTGTACTAGAAATTTTGGTCATAATTATTACCGAATAAAGAGGTTATGGGAAGGTGGTGTGCCCAAACTGTCCCAGCAGATGGTGGCGCTTGGTACTTCACCTTTTTACACCGCGACGAACGGGCTTCTTGACATTGTTTTTCAATGAAGATGTCTGCCGTTTTGTACACAATAAGTATGCAAATTTTATGCACATTTCCCCTTAACTCTGCTTCGCTGACCGACTTCTGCTAGCCTGAATTCATTTCTGCTAATTATACCTAGCTCCACATCAGCCTCAAAAAGAAACCCCTTGTTAGCGAAAAATGAAAAGCTAAATTACACAGCCGTATCAAATGCCAAAAAGAGCAGAACAAACTGTTTAAAAATCGCGACTTTTAACACCAGGAATAATCGTTATTCACAACAAAACACGGCTCCAGTAATTCTTTTCGTCCTATCTTAACGGACTAGTTCCGAGCCTCAACTCCCAAAAACCTGGGACACCTTTGTGGCAAGTGACAGCGTTTGCAGGCTCCGCAATGTTCGTATGATTCCTTCACACAACGGCAGCAAATATCACAATGTTTATGCATATAACCATCCTGAAAAACGCTGCATATAACTAACGATAAATAAATGGCTTCGGCGGAGCAGTATACACTTTTACAGTGCAACACGACAAGCCCTGTTAATAACAAACTGAAGTTGCAATTCTCAAATTTAACCC